CCATGGCAGGGAGAGAGGCCGTCTTCAAGGGCAAGTACCGTGTCCACGCTACCTCCCCCGCCATGGGTGACCATGTCAAGAAGGACGCCACATGGTACCAGGCCGTCGTCCATCGCAACGCAGACCTCTACCCGGAGCGCAGAGTACGCACAGCCTGCCTCCCCCTCCCTCTCCCCGTTCCCTCCTCTCCCTCCCTCCTCACCCCCTCATCCCTTCTCCTCAGATCTGGCGTGGCTTGACCCGCGAAGAGGCCATCGCACAGCACACGCGGACCATGCTTCTCTCGCCCGCGCATCCCATGGCATACATGGTGGCACAGTTTGCTGATGAGTGGTTTCCCTCGGCTTTTACTCCTCGCCCCCCGCCGCCTTTGTCGACATCATCGCCATCGCCACTCTCGTCGCCATCGCCATCGCCGTCGCCATCGCCATCGCCATCGCCGGCACCATCACATCCGCAGGCTGAGCGTGACGAGTCAAAGGGACAAGTTTTCATGGCCATCAACGCCATCGGTCGCTGCCGCAAGGCCATTATCGGCGCCCTCATCGAGTCGTTTCCCGGCATCGAGTTCCCAGCAGAGCTGGTTCATCACGTTCTTCTCGCTCGCGTCGGTCGCCCGCTCCACGCCCTTTACACCGCATACCGTTCGACCGAAGAGTACGCCGCTACCTCCACCGTCACTGCCATGGATGCAGCTGGCAAGCTCACTCCCGAGGACTTTGGCGTTGCGCCGCAGCTTGTGGCCGACGTCGATGCGCTCGCTGTTCCCTGCATCCGATCCGGCATCCGCTCCGCCCTTCGATGCGTCCACGACCCGGCCGAGCAGGCCCGGATTCTTGGCGACGCCGTCGCCGCCTTTACGTCGCACATGGAGGATGCTGCGGCCGCTCGCAAGGCCGCCGAGCGCCGCAAGGCCGCCGAGACCCTCGTCCGCCCGTTCTCGCTTGTCCTCCTCGGCTCGCCAGGCGTCGGCAAGTCGGCCTTTGCCTCGCGCATGGGCCTCGAGCAGTACACTGAAGCGCTGCCCGAGGAGCCTGGTGAGGAGGCTCTTTCGCACGCCACCTACACCTCTGCCTTGCAGGTCGGCGGCAAGATGACCCTCCTCCGAGTCGTCGAGGTCAACAGCCCGGACGCCATGCGTCCCGGATCGCCGCCAGCGACCGCCGTGGCCTCGGCCGACGGTGTAATTCTCATGTATGACGTCGCCTCACTCGAGTCGTTCAACGCCGTCTCGCTCTTCCGCGAGCAGGTCCGCGCCCTCGCGTCTCCAGTCCCGCCGCTCCTCCTCGTTGGCAATGTCCGGACCGTGCCCGGCGCCGCGCCCTCGGATCCGGCCGTCTCGGTCGAGCTCGGCGCTCGCAAAGCACAGCACTATTCGGCGCTCTTTGCCGAGGCCGCCGCCACCTCGGAAGGCTCCGTTAACGGCGCCCTCCACCTTCTCCTCGCCGCCATCATGGACATCCGCCAGGCCGAGCTCACTGCTGCGCTCGAGGCCGACGGTCCGTCCGCCGATGCCGCCCACCTCGGCGGCGATGACCTCATGCCCATTGTCGCCTACGGCGTCGCACGATTCTATCTCGATGCCACCGCAAGTGCCAAACCGTCGTCGGGCGCCGGCGTCGACGAAGACTCGCCCGATGCCAAGCTCGCACCCATGCTCGCCCTCCTCTCTGACAACATCTACGGCAAGCTCTCGTGCGGGCGGTACGGCTATGCGCTTGCGCTTTACGCGTCGTCGGTGCAGTATCTCGCCAATTGGGCGCCTGAGGCCGGGACGCCCGACACGACCGAGCCGCACCCCGAGCCACGCGTCTTGCCCGCCAACGACGGCCTCGACGACCCACTGGGCGAGCTCGGCGGCGGAGCCTCGACCGCGCGCGCCTTTGTATCTATCGGCAGCAGCGACAGGAGTGACGGGAGTGGCGAGAGCCCTCCAGGCTCGCCGAAGGCCAGCATGGCTGACAAGAACGTAGCAGGCTCACCGTCGGCGTCGCGGCGGGCAGCCCGGACCTCGCGCCGTTCCTCGTCGCTCTCGGGCCTGCCTGTCCACTCGCCCCCGTAGCAGGCTCAGTTGCGGCGCGAGGCGCGGCTGGCCCGTGCGGGCTCGGTCTCGCGCTCGAGCTCGAGCTCGCGGTGCTTGGCTGCCTTGGCCTTGGACCGGGCCGGCTTCTTGCGCGGGCGCTTGTTGTTGGCCTCGTCATCCGCCGGGCGCTTCTTCTTGGCGTCCTGGACGGCCTTGAAGAAGTCGGTCGAGTTGGTGGTGCCCTTTGCCGACGACGACGCCGCAGCAGGCGCGTACGGCACGTCCTCGACGTCCTGCAGGAACGAAAAGTCGAGGTCGAGGTCCTCAATAAACTCGCGGACCACCGTCTTCTCGTCGACAGTCAGCTCCTCGCGCTCGCGCTCGGCGTTCCCTGAGGCCTCCTCCATGTCACGTTCCTCGTCGGCAGCCAGCTGAGCGTCGAGCTCGTCGGGCTTGGTCTCGGTGTCGTCAAGGACCTTGTTGAACATGGACGGCGAGGCGTTGAGGATCTCCTCCGAGTTGGGGTACACGTTCTGGTGGAGGCGGGCGAGGAGCTCCTTCTCGATGGCGCGCTCGACGACAGCGGCGCGCAGGGCCTTCTCCTCACGGCGTGCGTCGCGGCGATCGCGCTTCTTGTTGACACGGACAAGCTTGGGCTGGACCTTGACGGCGAGCTTGCGCATGCGGATAAGAACCTGCGTCAGCCGGGTCAGACGCTGCTTGCACTTGTGGATGACAAACGAGTCCCAGTGCTCGAGGTGGTCGTCGATTTGCTTGAGTGCGATGGCATAGTTCTTGGAGAGCGGGATCTTGAGCCAGGTGTCCTTGGGCGTGTGCACCCGCTCCACCTCCTTGATGCACAGCATCATCGTTCCGGCCTCCTCCAGCACCGTGGCAAACTTGGAGTTGGCCAGCGGACACGACGCCCGGTTGCACAGGCCCGTCAGGTTGTACTCGTTGCGGCAGAACTTGGTGGTCCGCGCAGTCATCTTGTACGAGCAGTGGCCATTGTTGATGAGCTTCCACACCAGGTCGTCCGACTGCATGGTCTCACGAGGGGTGTATTGCCTTTCCGTCCGTCCACCCCCTCACTCCTCGCCTGCCCGTCTCGTCGCCCCGGATGGATGCCAGGATGGCCCGCCACCCGCTCGCCCCTTCGCCGCCAAAGCCGGCACTTGATTGGTCCCGGTAGAGGACATGACCCGGCACTTGGCACTATACATCGTTAAAATTTTCACCTCCTCCACGCACTCGTCAACCGCACCTCGCTAACCCGCACCCGCAGACATCCACCCCTCACCCACACCCTGTCGGGGGGCCAGCCAGTGTTTGCCTCCTCCCGATCTCCTTCGCCTTCCCCCATCCCTCTCCTTCCCCTTCCCCCTCCAAAGCCTACACCCCATGATCTGGCCCTGCACCCTTCCCATGCCCCGCCACACCCCACACTGACTCATTGTTCTCCTGCACGTGAGCCCATCTCCTGCACGTGCCGTTGCAACGCAGAACCCACTGAAACCAAGTCTCAAGCCACTCAACCCCCCTCCCCCTCCCCCCCCCCCCCCCCCCTCAACCATGTTGCACATGGCCATCCATCTGGTGCTCGCACTTGCTTTTCACGCAGCCCTGACCTCGGGTGCCGAGCTCGTGGTCCCTGTCGACGGCAAGGTGGCATCGATCATTGCCACGGTAGCTGCGGCAAGCAGCGGCGACACGGTGGTGGTTCCCGCTGGACGATGGACCAATTGCTCCGAACCCATTGTGGGCCTCGGCTCGGGCGTCGCCATCACCGTGACCGGCGCGGGCGCTGCGGACACCATCATCGACTGCGAGGGCACAGGCCGTATCCTCGATGGCTCTACCGACTTTGATGGCTGGGTGATGGAGGACATGGCCATGATTAATGGTGGCGGCGCCATCGACGACGCCGACGCCCGTGCAGGATGCATTCGTGTCAGATCTGGGTGCCATCTCACTCTCCGCCGCGTCGAACTTATGGGTTGTACCCTTGGCGGCGCGCGGACTGGCACCTACAAAGGTGGCGCCATCCACGTCGCCAACAACGCCTATCTGGCGCTTGTCGACGTCGTCATCCGCGACTCGACGGTCACCACCGTCGGCTCGGGCCAGGGTGGCGCCCTTGCCTCGGCCGCAGATACGGTCATCTCGTTCGACAACGTCACTATTTCCGGCTGCGGGGCGCATTCCGGTGGCGGCCTGTGGATCGCCGGATCCAAGGTGTATATCCATGGCGCGGGGCTACTTGTCGAGGGCAACTCGGCGGCTGACACCGCTGGCGGTGCGTACTTTCGTGCGGGCACCGAGTTCTTTGGTGCTGGCCCACTGATTGTTCGTAACAATGCTGCCGGCGGCGATGGCGGTGGCGTGCTCTTCCGCGTGGCAACGACCAACGGGACGATTGCGTCGATTGTGGCGACCGGCAACTCGGCTGGTGGATGCGGCGGCGGTATCAACTGGGGCCACGACGCACCCATCACAGTTACCGGCGGCGTAGTAGCCAGCGGCAACAGCGCAACGGACGGTGGTGGCGTGTGCTTTACTCAGGGCCGTCGCGAGGTGACTGTCTTTCTCGATGCCAGCAGTAACGTGACCTCCAACACAGCGAGCCGCCACGGCGGAGGCATCTACATTGCGGCGTCGTCGACGGACATGGTGCTTGACGGCACATATGTGAGCGACAACACTGCCGCCGATGGCTCGGGCATCTTCATCGAGGGCAGCAGCAACGTCAAGCCGAGTCTCTGGGGCGTGATCATCACCCGCAACTTTTCGCCAACCGGCGGCGCGCTTGCGCTGGGCGACTTTCCTTCAGCCTCTGTCGACACCGCCGGCAGCTCATCGTGCGGCAACTATGGCGGCAACAACGAAGCCGTCGACGTCCACTGCCACGGCGATAGCCGCTTTGTCAATCCAGTTGCAGGTGGATGCACGCAAGGTTCTCGCTGCCTCCGTGCCGACTCTGCCTGCGACCACGCGGCAACGTGCGCGTCGGCATGTCCGAGCGGTTGGACAGGCGCGCGCTGCGAGCTCAAAGCTAATTGTGCAATCGATCACGGCAACAAGAGCTGTGTCGAGTGCAACCCGGGATGGACTGTGAGCGGTGTGACGGCTGGTGCTTCGTACGGTTCGTGTGTGGTTGCTCCGAGTCCCCCCCCGCCGCCCTCGCCACCACCGCCGCCCTCTCCCCCGCCACCACCATCGCCGCCGCCACCACCATCGCCGCCGCCACCACCATCGCCGCCGCCACCACCATCGCCGCCGCCACCACCATCACCTCCACCACCGCCATCGCCGGCGGCGCCACCATCGCCGCCGCCGCCACCCTCACCGCCGCCCCACCATCAGGGCGGCCGCAAACATCCCCCTCACCGACGTCTTTTCCTCCACCACCACCATCGCCACCGGAACCGCCATCGGCATGCCCATCTACATCGAACCCACTGCCGCTCGGCTCCATACTGCCGCTCCTGCGTCGCCTTCTTTCCCAAGATCGCCTCCATGCCCGTTGACTGTCGCGTGCGCATAGAG